GAGCTGCAGGGCGCGGGGGCGGGACGCAGCGTCATGGGGCACATCGAGGGTGCGCCTCTCTCAGCACCTTTTACATACACGTATAAAGTGGGTTTCTGGGATCCCTGAGGATATCTCTATCTGGGGACCAGCAGTTAGCGGAACGGCTATGTCACTGGACTCCCATGTAGGTGACCGCAGTTCGAGTCCTGGACACAGTGGTTTAAACTCACACCGGGTGCGTGTGCGTGCGTGCCCAAGATCCCAAGAGGAGAATGGACGAGAAGGGATTGTGGCGTGACCATCCCCCCTGGGGGATGACTTCTGGCTCTCTGTCTCTCTGTCTCTCTGTCTGGCGAGTGCACACGCCCTATAGCGAAAACCTCTCCAAAAAAAGAAAAAACAACCTCTATCTGGTAGCTGACAAAATTCAGTAGGGAGATTCTTCTACCTTTGCATGTACAAAAAAAAAATTATTTTCGATACATTTGCTATAGGGTGCATGGGACCAGCAGTTGGCGTGATGGCTACAGGATGCATGCGCTTGCTGGAGAGACAGAGACAGAGAGACAGAAGGCAAGCAGTCACTCACAAGGGAGATGGCCACGCCGCAATCCCTTCTCCTCCACTCTCGTCTCAGGATCTTAGGCACGCATGCACACGTGCATGGCATGAGTTTAAGCCTCCAGGTCTGGGACTCAAACTGCGGTCGACTATGGGGGAGTCCAACAACATAACCATTACGCCATATGCTGGTCCCGATAATACACACTTTCCGTCAGTGTTTTGAAGACCCCATGGGTAAGCCTGCCTGTTATGTCTGCGGTCACTGCGAGTAAGAGCCGTGAGCCGGGGAGGCCAGCGCGTCCCTGGTGGTCGGTCGGTTTTGGCTGTTACTGCCTCAGGGCCTTCTCTTGGTTCTCTGTGCTGAAAACGTAGGTCGGTCCTACCTGGAAACCACCTGTGGCAGCCAGATTCTTTCCTTCCTTCTTTCTTTTTATCCTCTTTTTCCCAGATGGCACACGCACTTGCCAGAGGGAGAGACGGCGGCCCCGGCCCCCGGGAGCGTGGCCGCCCCACCGTCCCTTCTCCTCCGCTCCCCCTCCTTTCGGGGTTTCGGGCAACGTGCACACGTACCCAGCATGTTTCTCAAGCCCCCAGGTCCAGGGCTGGCGTGGGACGTGCCACGTGGGACGTGCCTGCCTTAACCAGAAGACACGGACGCAGCCACCCAGACCAGTTTTTGCGAAGAAATTACTTCGGCGAGTCTCCTCTCCCGGCACAGTGCTGTCCACTGCCAGGCGAGGCCACACGCGTGATCGGTAACATGCTTCCGCTTTACGTCTCCACATGGACTTCTGCTTTTAACAGGCTGGCTGACGGCAGAGCCAAGAAGTGCCAGGTGGGGTGTCCATGACAGGTGGTCGCAGCGAAGCCCAGGATGGGGAGAGGCAGTGCGAGCCCTGCGGCCCCGTCCTCACCTTGCTAAGGGGTCTGGGGGACTGAGAGCGACAGGAGAGGGCGTGAGAGAGAGGCTCCCACGGCGGCCTCCCAGGACGACACGGCACCGCCCAGTGGCTATGCCACACTGGAGGGGGGTGAGACCAACAGCGCCCGACGCGACGGCCCGAGACTCACAGCAGCTCGCGCACGCTGCACGTGGGGTGCTTCAGCGTCTCACACAGCAGCCTGAGCCCAGCTCGGGACAGGCTGGTGCCACACAGGTTCAGGTGTCTCAGGTGAGGGCTATGAAGAACCACCTCGAAGAAGTCTGCGCCACTTCCAAAGCTGGACATGAAGTTCAACCTGCAGGGGGACGAGAGTGAGAGGCACGCCCCACGAGGCTGCTTCTGCCCGCCCGGCCTCGCCACACTGCCCGGGGTCCTGGTCGCCCTGGCCCGCCCCTTACTTCTCACAGAGATTTCCAGACACTGCAGGCCCAGGGCTCGGGCTGCTCTGACCCTGCTTCTCCCCAGACCCCCACCTGCACGTAGTGCCGTACGTACGTGACGGACGCCATCCAGGCTCGTCCCGGGTTAAACTCCGAGCCCCACGAGGACAGGGACAAACGGCGTCTGTCCCTCCCTCCCTTCTGAGATCCGGCCTGGTGCCTGACAGACATATTTGAACTAATGCTCCAAGCAAGACTGTGTGCTCTGAGCAAAGGGCCCATTTCTATTTAAAAACTAAAAGTCTCGTTATTATTATTATTATCGGAGAGGTTTTTGCTATGGGGCGCGTGCACTCACCAGAAAGACAGAGAGAGACAGAGAGACAGAAAGCGATAAATCACCCCTCCCCCCGGGGGATGGCCACGCCGCAATTCCTTCTCCTCCATTCTTCTCTCGGGGTCTTGGGCACGCACGCACATGCGCCTGGCCTGAGTTTAAGCCCCGGGTCCAGGGCTAGAACCGAAGTCAACTACATGGGAGTCCAGCGACATAGCCATTATGCTAACTGCTGGTCCCTCGTTATTTTTTTAAAAGAAGACAATTTATATAGTGAGTAAAGACTTAGGCTCCGTAACTAAAGAAACTCAGAAAAGATGTTTTTACTTCCTACTATTTTTGCAAGTTTCAGCAAATTTCTTCATGAAAAAATACTGTTACATTAACTAAGACATTAGCAGGACCAGCAGATGGCATAGCAGTACCTCGCTGAGCTTCCACATGGCCAACTGCAGTGCGTGTCCCAGACCTGGTGACTTGAAACTCATGTTGGGTGTGTGTGCATGCGTGCTCAAGATCTGGGAAGGGAAAAGAAGAGAAGGGATTACGGTGTGGCCATGCCCCTGGGGGTGATTTCTCACTCTCTCTGTCTGTCTCTCTTTCTCTCTCTCTCTCTGGAGAGAGCACATGCCCTAAGGCAAAAACTTCTACAAAAAAAAAAAAAAGGAATTAGCACACATACATACGCAAATACATGCATTTATAAAGCAGGTTTTATGTATTTATTTAATCATATAGATAAATGTAAGTACTTGACACATGACAGGTGGCATAGGTGATCCTGGCATCACAAGAGCAAACCTGAGTAAACTGATTTCTCTCCTAACAACCCAGAAATAATGAAGTATTTATCAAAGTAAATATCCTGCCAGGCTCAGAAACTAGAATGGGAATTATGAGTAGGGCAGAAACAAAAGACAGACGAGAAGAGACGAAAGAGACGTGTCGGCCAGGGGGCATTTGAGAATTACCACGGAGGGGTCCCCTACACGTGCGAGCCGGCTCGAGGGGCTTCCTGCCGGAGATGGAGCAGGCGAGGGGCTGGTGACGGCAAGGACTCTGTGGGAGAGGCCGACCCAGCGAACCGTGAACAGGAAGCGCCCTGAGGTCCAGAGCTGCCTGTGAGATGTGGGCGTGGCAGGAGATCGGTCAGGACACGCCCCAGGCCACCAGCTGCTGAACACATTCCGGCTCACAGCCAGGCCCGCAGGAAACGCTGTGTTAGCGGACAGCACGGCAGGGGATAAAAATCACAAAGATGAAGGTGAAACCAAGAACCACCTCCACTGAAGGGTCCTCGACCTCGTGCAAAGGAGCCAGGCTGACGGAAGAGCTGACGCCCCGATGTCTGACTACTCGCGTTGTTACTTCTTCCTGAGGTGGACCTTTCCCTCCACCGTGGAGGGGAAAAGTGTTAAAGCAAATAGACCAGAATCTCCAGGTGGATGACGATGGTTTCCAGAGGAAGCACGGTGGCTGTAGAGAGGCAGAAATAGATCGACTCCTAGGCCTGCTTAGGAATTGTAGCCCAAGGAATAGCAGATGGATCAATATATCCCAATCCACTTGCCTCCCACATTGCCTAAACCCTAAACCTGCAGGAAGACTGGAACTGAAGTTGAAGGAATGGGCACAGGCTTCTGATTTTTTATTCACCTTAGCAAATACATTTTTAAAAAATCTCATATGTCGGGACCAGCAGTTGGCGTAATGGCTATGTCTCTGGACTCCCACGCAGTCGACTGCGGTTCGCGTCCTGGACCCGGTGGCTTAAAACTCACGCCGGGCGTGTGTGCGTGCATGCCCAAGATCCCGAGAGGAGAATGGAGGAGAAGGGATTGCAGCGTGACCATCCCCCCTGGGGGGTGATTTCTCGCTTTCTGTCTCTCTGTCTCTCTCTGTCTGTCTGGCGAGCGCACACGCCCTATAGCAAAAATCTCTCTCTCAAATAAAAAATAGAAATCTCATGTGCAGAAGAGGAAAGAGGAAGAAAAACATTTCTCAATTCCAAGACATATGACGAGATACTACTGAAGAGAAACAGCCAACTCACTATCTTGACTTTGGCCAACCTGAAAGGGATCTAATGATACTTACTAGGCCCTGAGCTAAGCCCTTTAGGTGTGATGTCAATCATTTAGTCTCACAGTTACACTGTGAGAGCGAATCATTCTTGCACACTTCGCGTAGCCCGAGGTTCCCGGGAAGGCCGCGCACGTTCGATTCCCGCTCCTCACGCTGTCACTTACCACATCTGTAATCCGTGGCCACGACTGAATCACAAAAGCGCCCAGAACCCGTCCTACTTCTGCTCACGCCTGAATACACCGTGACCAAGCTAGTCCCCACTTGAACACGTTTTCCAGAAGGAAAAGGAACTCAGCGAGGCCCAGGCTTTACTATCCGCGTGGGCTCTGCAGCAATTCACTCCAAGTCAGCGTCCTTAGGACACGAGGGAGCTGCTTTCAGGGCACTCAGCAGGCATTTATGAGCTCCTACAAAGCGTTGTGTTTTGTGAGGTGCTGGGATCTGGCAATGCTGTCTTCCCATCATGGTGCTTTAATCAGCAGAGGAACACTGCGCCCCAAGGTCGCCCTGGCTCTGCTGCCCTGGCAAGAGGGCCCATGAGTTGGGCACGTGGTGTCCCTGGCTCGATTTACTCCAGTGTGAGGGCACACAGGTTCTCGGCAGAGGGGAAGGCACACGGGGCACCCAGAGGGACCAGGCACGAACTTCCCAAAGTCCTCTCCCTGCGGGGTTACCAGGACAGAATCTGTGCCCCCAGCAAGAAACTGACAGCACATGCGAAACGCCGCCTGCCCGGAAGCTCACTGGAGACACTGTGCACAGGTCTGTCGCAGGCTGGTCACACCGGCACCCTGCGAGCGTGTGGAGAAACCACGCACTCAGCACGAAGCACTGCACAGACACTTCAGGAATGGCGTGCTACTCTCACAGGGCAGCAGGATGCTCCCCACTCCAAGTGCCGAGTCAATGGTCCGGAGTCAATCCAGCAAGCAGGTGTCCGCAGGCACGGCGGCCGCGCACCTGCCCCCGCAGTGCCTACTACCCTGCACGACCGGCCAGTATTGTTTTTTTTTTTTGAGAGGTTTTCGCTATAGGGTGCGTGCGCTCGCCAGACAGACAGAGAGAGACAGAGAGATAGAAAGCGAGAAATCACCCCCCAGGGGGGATGGTCACACTGCAATCCCTTCTCCTCCATTCTCCTCTCGGGATCTTGGGCATGCACGCATACGCGCCTGGCGTGAGTTTTAAGCCACCGGGTCCAGGACGTGAACCGTGGTGGACTACATGGGAGTCCAGCGACATAGCCATTACGCTAACTGCTGATTCCCGACCGGCCAGTATTTAATGCGCTATAACTGTCATAGATAAAAGCAAGTGCTGCTTTGGGAGCACAGAGAGCCTCCGAGGTGCAGGAGTCCATGTGGAGGGCAGCTGTGGAGCCTAGAGACAGTACAGGAGGGCGGGTGGGAGGCAGGGGATGAGGTTACAGGGACAAAGCAAACACTGACGAGGACAGAGATGAAAGGTAGCTGTGGATGGCAACACACACGGACGTCTTTGACTGATACACTGTATCCGCACTGGGAAAACCATGCTTACGCCGTAAAGGTGTAGAGTGATTAAGTAAACTTTAGGAGGGATTTTTAAAATGTTATTATTTAAAAATAACATAAAAGTAAGTCTCCCATGAAGAAGCGATCTGAAGCTGAAGCAAGACTTCAAATCAAGCAGCAAACTCTTGGGAGTGAAGAAAATAGCCAGAAAAAACAAAATAACGAAAATATCAGGCATGCTCCCCCCCCCCCCCCCCCCCGCTACCCTTGTGTATAAAGACGATCATAAAATTGTTATGGGAATGGGAACCAGCAGTTAGCGTAATGGCTATGTCACTGGACTCCCACGTAGTCGACCGCGGTTCGCGTCCCGGACCCGGTGGCTTAAAACTCACGCCAGGCGCGTGTGCATGCGTGCCCAAGATCCCGAGAGGAGAATGGAGGAGAAGGGATTGCAGTGTGACCACCCCACCTGGGGGGTGATTTCTCGCTTTCTGTCTCTGTCTCTCTCTGTCTGTCTGGCGAGCGCACGTGCCCTATAGTGAAAAGCTCTCAAAAAAAAAAAAAATTGTTATGGGGATGAAGAGCAAACATAGCCCAGAAAGTGGCAGCTCTCCTAAAGAAATGCTCTAGAAATGCTCTAGAAATGCGTGTCTTCTCTTTGCTTGTCCTGACTCTGTCCTCCGGCCCACGTGTAAGCTCCTGGCCTCTCAGCACTCTTCGCCCCTCTCTACCTGGGAGCATCTCTCTCCGATCTGTCTGCATGTGAGCACACGCGCCCCTGCCCTGTCCCGGACTGCTGCCTGTTGGCTCTCCCGCGAGATTTTGTCTCACGTGTTACTCGCTGCACACGGGGTCACAGCCCTGTGTCTGCACACGGGTCTCCTCCGAGAGTCCAGAGTACAGAGAAGGAAACTACGGACAGGACAGCTCAGCCGCAAACTCACAGGAGGCTCTGCAGTTTACAATCGGGCCGGGCCAGCGCTTCACGAAGGACTGCGGTGGAGGCCCCGTCGAGGCTGCAGTTGTCCAAGTCCAGCATTTCCAAGCCCTTGCAGGTGCGGAACACTGAGCAAAGGTCTTGCCAATAGAGGAGCTTCTCGCTGTCGCTGTGGGAACGAAGACATCCTCACAACAGGCAGACCACCGCGCCCACAGCCCTCAGAGCCCACGCCAGGCCCGAACAGGGAGGAGCCCAGCGAACGGTCAAGACAGAGGGTAAGGGGGTGCCTGGGCCAGCGGCGGCGCGGCGGCCGAGGCGGCAGGGCACCGCGGAGTCCAGGCAGGCAGCGGAAACATCATGTGGCACATGTACATGCCCCAAGTCCCAGGAGGAGAACGGAGGAGACTGTGGGAGGCCGCCCCTGTGGGCGGGGGTGCAGGGCACTGTTCGCTTTGTCTCTGTCTGGCAAGTGTACCCACACTATGTCAAAAACCTAAAACTAAAAGCAACATAAAAAAATCCTGCTTGCCTTTCAACCTCACGTTGGCTCAGTTTAAGTACTGGGTATCGGAAAAGTCATGACACATTTTTGCAAAGAAAACCAGAGAAATACGTCATGGCTTTTCCAGCGATCCAACAGATAACTCGCCACACAGGTGAAGTCCACGGTGCTGCTGCTCTGGTCCCGCCAGCAGGCGGCAGCGTGGGGCACAGAAGGAAGCGTCCTGATGTGACATCCATGCTCTGAAGCACAAAAATAAACCCACAAAGCACACTGCTCAGGAGAGCAGGCCGCACGCCACAGACCAGGCCGCATTCAAAATGCAAAGTCCAAAATGCTCCCCAACCCAGAACCTCGTGAGCACAGAATTCCCCTGGACAAAAATTCCACACCTGACCTGATGTGCCCCCAGGCCGTGTGGAGGGTGTGAGGGGCCCCTCGGGCAGTGGATTTATGAACCCCCCTCAGGCTGTGTATTATATGTAAATGAACCCTAAATGAATGTTCTGAAATATGGCTCTCATCACCAAGATATGTCATGATGCAGCAGCAGATTTTTTAAATCTATAAAATAAAATAAAAGTCCAAATCCAAAACACTTCTGACCCCAAGCACGCAGATAGATTCTCCCCCTGTATGAGCTGGGTGCGTGTGCGTGTGCGTGTGAGCGCGTGTACAGGGTAATAATGTGAACTCACTCTGCAACGGATCCAGAATCGTCTGAGAACACATCGTCTATGCACAGGTGAAGTTTCTTCAAATTCTGGCAAAGTTTCAGGCAGTACGAAGACACTAGCAGCTGTCCCACGTCACCAATGTAAGTGGAAACTTCTTCGAAGAAATTCATCACATGTGCTACGAATTCTTCATCCTGGGTTTCAAATAAACCATTGAACAGTTCATTGAAACTTACGACTTCCTGATCGGTTTTGCAATGGCTTAGACTTTGAACACACGCGGTAATCTCCTGCTTTATGTCTCTGGACAGAAGAAAACCAAAAGATGTCTCCAGCTGGCCGATGACTTCTTCCGTTGAGATTCCAAACACAAACACTCCCAGCCGGGACAAATGCGTCTGGACATTGGCCACCCACGCCGTTACGAGCTGGGTCACACTTCCAATGGCCAGGTGGGGACTGTCTCTGGGTCGCTGGAGCAGGTAGAACACGGCAGCACAAAACTCTTGGATACACACGTGCTTGAAGATGAAGTGCTCCCCGCTCCTCTGAAGAAGTCTCGCAGCCACCCACAGTGAGACGTCAGAGTTGGACATGCCCTTCCTCCGGAGCTCCTCACGGCCAAACACAAACGTCTGGGTCCACATCCCCTCGCGGCCAGCGCGCACAGGCTCGTCAGTCGGGCTCGGCTCTGTCTCGGCGGCCGGCTCTCAGCTCCCGCTTTCAACACGCTTGTCAGGAAGGACACATACAGCGCGCTCATATTTTGGGAGGAGATGCTGAGGTCTGGCCCCGTCTCCAGCTGACACTTTATGCAGGTACACACCAACCAGCATACGAGGGGGTTCTGGCACAAGGTGAGCAGTGGCCTAGTATCTCTTGCAAAACCGAAGGCCTTCAAGGCTTTGTTCTTCTCACAGAAGAAATGAGAAAAGTACGACTTCCTCTCACGCTCAGAGAACCCAGACAGAAGGATGTGCTGAGGGTCCCGCAGCAGGAGGCCGTACTTCTGCACGCCCCCTTTCCCGAGCGCAAGGAGCAGACAGGACTCGGCAAGCAGCTGTTTCTGCAACAAGCTGCCCAGGATGACCTGGGCCGGCCGGCGCTGTCGCCAGTCGCTGCACGAGTGACCCTTCAACGCCAGGTCCCATTTCAGGGCCTCGAAGCTATCCATGACGAACAGGATTCTCTCTGGCTGGGAGAACGTGTCCTCCATGGCCGCTGGGGCCTCGGGCCAGTCCTTGGAGATGAGCTCCACTAAGCTGGTCTCCGCCCTGCAGCTCATTTCACAGACGTTGAGGAAGAAAACGAACGTGAATCTGTCCTTCCAGAAGTTTCCTTCGGCCCACTCCAACATCACTTTTCTTAAAAGCGTTGTCTTCCCACTTCCTTCGGGGCCTCTGAGCACCACAGTGGCGGGCCCGGCGGCGAACGCGTCTGCCAACGCCTCCCGCGCGCTCCTGGTGGTTTCTCTGTAGAAATGCTCGGGCACTTGCAGACGGATTTCCTTCTCCCACACGAGTCGGAATTTCTCCTTCACGTGCTTTCTGTACGGGTTTAGTCTATCTGGGTTAGCGGGAACAGAACACGAGGTGGTTAAAAATACGCGTACTCTTTGCTCCCCCTTAGAACGAGCGCGCGTGCAAAGACGTGCGTGTCTCTGCGTAACCGGGCCCATGAGGGAGGCCCGCCAGGACCACGCAGCGCCTGGCCGACAGAGGGAGCCTGCTGCAGCGTCGGGGCTACGTCAGTGTGGGCGCTCGGAAGCTGGGTGGCATCTCCCCACGCGCCACCCACGCTGAGGGTCCGCGGAAACAAGGCTGAGAAGGTCGCTGTGGGTCCTGCACCTGCCACGTCTCCAGCACCCACTATAGTTACTTACTTCCTGCTTACAAGAAAGGGGGGAGAGGGCCAGCAGTGGCGCGGCGTGTAAGGTGCTGGACCCCCTCCTGACTGCCTACGGTTTGAGTCCCAGATCTAGAGGCTTGAAACTCATGCCAGGCACATGGGCGTGCGTGCCCAAAATCCTGAGAGGAGAATGGGGAAGGAATTGTGGCGTGGCCATCCCCCCGGGAACTGATTTCTCACTTTCTGTCTCTTTCTGTCTCTCCAGAAACGGCAGAAATTTCTCAAAAAAAGAAAAAAGTGTTGAGATTTATGTGGCTCGGCTACTATGGAATGATGAAGAGACACTGGGCTGCCAGAAAAGTCGTGAGTCACAGAAAAAACGCGTCAAGACGTTTCCGAAAACCCAGCGTTGGGCCGAGTGTCCCTGTGGGCCTGGGAATCACGGGTCCAGGCTATTTCTTACAACATGCCGCCCGCAGTTCATGTGAGAAACGCTTCCCGAACCATCCTTCTTCCCGCCCGCCTTCACTCACACCTTCCATGTTCAAACCAGCGGATCAGGGGAGCGAAGACCATTACCAGCAGGGACAAGGTCTGCACCATGCATCCAGCAGCAGGCCCCGCAGCAGGGGGGGGGGGCGTCTGGTTAGCAAGAGGCTGAAGGTGCTTCCCAGGTGTGTCGACAGTCAGAAAATGCATTTTTTTTTTTTGCAGAGGTTTTTCACTATAGGGTGCATGGGCTCACCAGACAGAGAGACACAGAGAGATAGAAAGCGAGAAATCGCCCTCCAGAGAGGATGGCCACGCCGCAATCCTTTCTCCTCCATTCTCCTCTTGGGATCTTGGGCACGCACACACACGTGCCCGGCGTGAGTTTAAGTCACCGGGTCCGGGACTTGAACCACGGTCGACTACGTGGGAGTGCAGCAATGTAGCCATTACACTAACTGCTGGTCCCGAAAATGCATATTTTATGCAAAGTTTATCTAAGTAGTAAAGAGAGTTGGGGAAGGGAGAAGAATGAAAATACTATTCATAATCTGAATTTTCGAATTTTAGATAAAACTCCAAACTGAGACGCTCCTCTCGGGTCCTCACCTGTGATGGAAGTGAAGCAGCATGGGGCGGGCAGGGGCACGCGCCCAGGAAGGGTGGTAGGTGTGGGGCACCCCTGTGCCCAGTCCACTGCCAGCCACAGAGGACCAGTGGGACGTGCAATCTTCTATCACCTCCAGGGCCCACTGATGGAGGGGTGGCTCTCACTACAGTGACACCACCCTCGTTCTTAGATGCTCCCAGAAAACCAACCTAAGCCCTGGGCCCCCATCCCTCCATCCTGCACTTACTTCTGATCTCGTCCTGTGCCTTTGTCCAGAGATCTCTGCGACCGAGCTGTAGAAACAGGCTCAGCGTCACCGCCCACGCCTGCTCTGCCGGGTAGTGCTTCTCCAGCAGCTGGGCCAGGTCTCCCTTTGAAGCCTTCTTCAGCTCAGTCCAGGGCATCGGCCTAAGTTCAAATTTCAGAGGTTCTTGCTTGAGGAGCTCCTTGAATTTCCAAAACTCTTCCTTTCTGAGCTCCTCCAGGTACCACAACAAGCCAAAGTCAGAAAAAAAAGATTCAGCCATCCTTCCCAGGAGAAGGAGGTCACACCTCTCCAAGGGGGCTGGGGGCACCCTCAAGGAATAAGGGGTGAGAGAAACCTGGGGAAGAGGAGTACAGCGTTAGTCTCGGCACACGCGGCTCAGAATGACCCATACCACACATGCCTGCTTTAGGTGTACCCAGCCAGCTACGGTAACAAGGTGAAGTCGACGGCAGCGAACAGAGATGTAGTTTCCGCTAACTCGGATGCCAGGGAGGAGTGCCAACCGCCTAAAGGCACGGTAGAGCTTTGAGGTTTATTAGTGGAGCCAAGGAAGGAAGAGTTATTAGCCATAAGATAACTTAGCCAATACCTCGAAATGGATGAGAGACTTAAATGTAAGATCCCAAAGCAAACAATGCAGACAGTAATAGTCTTGATCTGACCATCACACACTGCACGCATGCTCTGAAGAACCATGCCATGGGGCCAGCAGGTGCATAACGGTCACATCGCTGGACTCCCATGCAGCCGACCGCAGTTTGAGTCCCAGACCTGGCAGCCTGGGACTCATGCCTGCTGCATGTGTGTGGGTGCTGGAGATCCCAAGAGGAGAATGGAAAAGGGGACAGTGGTGTGGCCAGTCTCGGGCTGCTTTCTTGCTGTCCCTCTGTCTCTCCGGCAAGCATACATGCCCTATAGCAAAAATCTCTCTTAAAGAAATAAGAGAGAAAACGTATGGCATGCCGTGAATATTTATGACAATTAAATGTAAATAAGCAAGCTAATATTACAAAATAAGCGATACAAAAGGATATGACTAGCCCCGTGCCCCCCACTAGGTGTCTCCAGGGACATCTCGCAGAAGAGTTGTGATACATTTGACCTCAGGTTCCAAAGGCTGTTAGACAGACCTGGAGCACGGGGAACCCAGGGGTAAGCCCACCCACATGCAACTGGCTCATTTCTGGCACAGGTCCAACATTACCTGGCTATCGCCCAGTCTCTCCGATAAATGGGGCCGGGAAAGTTAGATGACCACCCGCGAAATAATGAACCTAGACCGAGTCTCTCAGCACGTAAAAAGAAACGAGTAACTCGCAACAGATTAAAGACGTAAACGTAAGACCCCAAACCATGAAATCACCGCAACAAAACAAAGGGAAAATGCGTCAAGATATTGGTCTTCGCAAACAGTTTAAAAAATAAGATTTCAAAAACGTGCTCCCCAGTAAAACAAGGCAAATGCGATGATATCACACTAAAAGCTTTCTGCACAGGAAGTGATCAGCAGAGAGAACGCGATGAGAGGGATTTGTGTGGTCAGTTATACATCCGAAAAGGAATGAGCATTTAGGAAGTGATCAGCAGAGAGCGCATGACCAAGAGGGATTTGTCTGGTCAGTTATACATCTGAAAAGGGATGAACATTTAGGAAGTGATCAGCAGAGAGAACGCGAGACCGAGAGAGATTTGTCCGGTCAGTTTTACATCTGAAAAGGAATGAGCATTTTCCCTGAGCCGCACGTGACAGACACAGAACGGAAACTTATCTGTTGACGCCGCCTACAGCTGGATCTGACTCTGCCCTCCCTGCATGCGTGCTCTGGAGTGCCGTATTTTAACTCTAAGGAGAGACAGTGGTTAGGGACCAGCAGGTGGCGTAATGGCTATGTTCCTGGACTCCCAGGTAGTCAACCATGATTTGAATCCTGGACCTGGCAACTTAAAACTCACACCATTCTTCTCTTGCCAAGAGAAGGGATTGTGGCGTGGCCATCCCTCTGGGGAGTGATTTCTAACTGTATGTCTCTCTGGCGAGCACGTGCACCCTATAGTAAAAATCTCTCTCTAAAATAAAAAGAAAAAGATATATGATGATTAAATGTAAATAACATATCATACAAAGGTCATGGAAAATGGTTATAATAAAATCTATGCATGCCTTTCAAAAATATTTGAACCCAAATTAACTTATACTTTCCATTTCCGTGAACTTTTTGAAGCCATCGCATAGTAGGTCCATAAGGAAAAACACGCTGAGAGAAGTACTTACCTAGAAAATGACTCACTGAGGAAAAGCTGAGGTAATATACATCTTTAACTGTCTGACTGAATTGTTGTACAGTTGATTACAGTGAGTCAGAGACTAAATTAGAAATCAATTTTGATTTTGAAGTCAAAATTAAAGTATGTAAATAAAATTATTTTCATACTTTACTTCAAAATAAAATATTTACATACTTCAAAACTGAAGTATGTAAATAAAAATATTCTACAAAAAAAGAGGAAAGGAATTAATAACCAGAATATACAAAGAACTCAAACCACTAGCCAGCAAAAACACAAAAACGATCTGATTTTAAAATGGGCAACCAATCCAAACAGACCGTTCTCAAAAGAGGATAAACAGGGACCAGCAGTTGGCGTAATGGCTATGTCGCTGGACTCCCACGTAGTCGACCACGGTTCGCGTCCCGGACCCGGTGGCTTAAAACTCACGCCGGGCGCGTGTGCGTGCGTGCCCAATATCCCGAGAGGAGAATGGAGGAGAAGGGGTTGCGGCGTAGTCATCCCCCCGGGGGGAGATTTCTCACTTTCTGTCTCTCTGTCTGTCTGGCAAGTGCACGTGCCCTGTAGCAAAAACCTCTCCAAAAAAAGAAAAGAACACCATGCAATACCCCGCCAATGAGTAGGGTTACTGGATGTCAGTTAAAGTTGTAACTGAGGACCAGCCTGTACTGCGGTAGCTGAGCCCCTGGATCCCACATGGCCGTCTGCAGGCTGAGGCCTGGAACTGGTGGTGAAAACACGTCAGGTGTGTGTGCGTATGCCCAAAACCTATGAGGAGAAAGAGCAGGACTTGCAGTGTGGCCCTCCCCTTTAGGGGTGCCTCCTCACTCCCCACTAGCTCTCGCTCCGCCCTGTGCTGCAATGTGGATAACGGCGCAGGAAGCCAGTCCCACACAGCAGGTACCCACGGCTCCATTGATAGGAGGCACTTCAACGAATGTGCTGCCAGGGCTCCGGGCAGGAGGAGAGGGGGGCGGTGCTCAAGGGGATGGCTTTTGTTCTATGAGAGAAGTGCTGGGAGGGGAACGGGTGGCACCTGCACGCTCTGCATGTACCCAATACACGGAACTGTACTCTTCTTTCTTTTTCTTTTTTTTGGAGAGGTTTTTGCTATAGGGCGCTAACTCTCACCAGCCAGACAGAGAGAGACAGAGAGACAGAAAGCGAGAAATCACCCCCCAGGGGGGATGGTCACGCCGCAATCCCTTCTCCTCCATTCTCCTCTCGGGATATTGGGCACACACGCACACGCGCCCGGCGTGAGTTTAAGCCACCGGGTCCGGGATGCGAACCGCGGGCGACTACGTGGGAGTCCAGTGACATAGCCATTATGCTAACTGCTGGTTCCCATGGAACTGTACTCTTAAAGGTGGTTAAAATGGTATCTTTTGGGACCAACAGATGGCATAATGGTTATGTTGCTGAACTTCCACACAGTTGACCGCGGTTCACGTCCTGGACCCGGCAGCTTAAAACTCAATGGTAGGCACATGTACGTGCCTGCCCCAAATCCCGAGAGGGCCCTGGGGACAGGACTGTGGCGTGGCCACATCCCTGCAGGGCGATTTCTTGCTTTCTGTCTATCTGGTGCATGCACGTGCTCTATAGCAAAACAAAAATCTCTCTTAAAAAATATGGCATCTTTTATGTCATGTGTATTTTACATTTAAGAAATTTTAATGATATGCCATTTGGGTAACACGTAAGGCTTCGCAGCGAGTATATATGAAATGTCTATATAGATTCTATGAAAAGGAAGTGCTGAGACCAAATTAAATGCATGCACTCGCACGCACGCACGGACGGACAGCGCTCACTAAACATTCACGCACAGCGGGCGTAAGAAAAAGTAAAGGGGAAATGTACTCCAAATCAGAAAGCATGGCCTCATTCAATAATCACAGTAAAATAACATTAGAAAATAAAGACAAACTATGGAGAGCCATAGTCAATTCTTTTTCTTTAGCGAGATTTTTGCTATAGGGCATGTGTGCTCACTGGAGAGACAGAGACACACAGAGAGACAGAAAACTGAAAACCAGCCCTGGTGGGGGGGGGTGGCCATGCTGCAATCCCTTCTCCACTCTCTTCCTGGGATCTTGGGCACGTGTGCACACATGTGCCCAGCATAAGTTCGAAGGCACTGGGTCCAGGACTCAACCTGCAGTCAGCCGCGTGGGAGTCCAGCCACGTAACCACGATGCCATCTGCTGGCCCTTAAATGTAGTTTAATATATCTCTGGCCAGTAAGAAGATTCGAAAGAAAGAGACAGACTTCAAATAGAGTTAAAGAGCTGGTAAATACGGTTGGGAGAACTTCCTAGAAACTCATTCTTCCATTTGGACTTGAGTGCCTATATAACAAATGGAAGACATGGGGATCCCATTATAGCATATGGGAATATAAGTGCCCATTTAATATATATAGTATATGGGAATATAAGTGCCCATTTAATATATATAGTATGTGGGGAATAAGTGCCCATTTAATATATATTAAGTGTTGGTGCTAGAAATGTAAACGCATATAGTTATGGAAGAAATCTGACGGCCTCTGTTCAAAGTGAGTACTTCCTTCAACCCCCAATTTACTCCCTGGAATCCATTCTGAAGTAGCATTTGCACATCTACCCAGAGTTACATGTGCACAAGTGTTTCCAATAAATTTTAAAGGCGAGAACTTACATACTCAAAAACAACAATATGAAAGTTCCCCAAAGACCTACAAATACAACTACCATATGACCAAGCAGTTCCACTCCTGGGTATGTGCCCGAAGGGTAAGAATACACTCAGTGGGATAAACATTGCATATCCATACTTATTGCTGCATTATTCAGAATTATTAAGACATGAAACCAACCCAAATGTCCATAAACACATGAATGGATTGAAAAAGTGTGGCACATACATACTACGGAATACTAAAAAACAATGAGACCCTGGCATTTGATAGAAACTGGACGGAAT